GCAGAATTGGCAGCTGACCACAGGGAGGGCTCTCCGCGGACACTGTGCATTGAACTCAGGGCCAACTCACCCTCACCTCTGAGGTAACTCACCTCTGGATTCCTTAACACATGGGGATGACCCCAGGCCAGGCTGCTCGCAGCCCTGATCACCTGCCTCCTGGAGTGTGGGGATGAAGGCCCAGGGGCTGTGGGGCTGCTCACAGGCACCCATAAGGCACGCACCACAGCTTGCCCAGGCCCAGGTGCATCTCCATGCCATGGCTCTGTGGCAGGGTTGGAGCTCAGGGGGTCATGATGATGGGATGGATGCTGCCTTCGTTCTGGCTTACTCCTTCAGACCGACTATCTCTGTAATCCCTGAACAACCCTGTAAGGTAGATGTCACCATCGTTCTCATGAACATGAGTGAAACTAAGCTCAGAGAGGACATGGAAACCGCTAAGTCATTCACTCATCAGGACCCCAGAGGGTCTCAGTCCAGCACACTCTCCTTCAATCTTGATCTTCCTGAAAAGTGGCCATGCCATCCCCACCAGTGCCCAATGACCCCGTGCAAATCCACCAAAACGATGTCAGATGGATCTCACAAGCCTTGGCTGCAAACACCCTGGGTCGAGGCACACTTCATCTACCACAGATCAGGGCATGAGGTTGGAGGCTTCAACATGAGCATCACCCCCTGTGCTCCTAATTCCAGACCTGACCTCTCCCACCTTTCAGGACATCAACCTCTGACAGCAGACAACTGAGAGACAGCTGTAGCATGGGGACTCACAGGTTATTACTTTATCCCCTTTCACCTCTAGAACTTCCCCTCCTGCCATTGGATAGAGGCTACCAGAAATCGCCAGTCCAAGCTACCAGCCATTGCCAAGGGAGGTTGGGCTGTGGAGGCTTCTAGAAACAGCATTAAGCACTTGCAGACAGAAGGCAAGGCCCAGGATGGGGCAGAGACTCATGGAGACACTCATTGTGACACAGGTTTCCCCCAGCCCTGCTCTTTCCAGGGGGCCAGGTCTTCAGTGCAGACCGGTCACCAGCTCACCCCAGCAACATCCCTTGAAGACCAGGACTTCAGGAAGAAAAGTGAGACTCGGGGGACTTTGATTTGGCTGAAGCTCTTCAGCTTGGTTGGAAAATAGGTAAAATTGTTTTGTACCTTTCGATAACTGGCAGGAGAAAGGCAATGTTTGGTTTTCCTCCTCTTTCTTCATTCCCTGAATCAAGTTACCTTGAAGCCCAAACACTTAAAACTCAAGCACTCTCATGTCACAAAACCCAAACCTGCTCCCAGCCACTCACAGGCCATCATCAAAGCCGGAGCGGAGTGTCCCAGCCCTGGGAGAACATCAGAGTCACCGGGCAGACATCTATTTGCAAGATGGAGTAGCCAGGCAGGAGCTGGGCCACAGGGTTCCTGGACACTGGCCAACAAGCTGCACAGGACCGTGACCCCTGAGAGGGGAAATGAGTGGGGGGGGCCCAACAACGGTCCCCACCTGGAGGCAGTTTCCACGCTCTGGGAGGGAAGCTCCAGAGACCCAGGGGCCTCTCTGAGCAGGGGTGGCAGAGACAGGAGCCAGGTAACCATGCTTTGTGAAGAGCAAGGAACTGTAAGGAAAGATGACCAGCAGTCGACAGGGACCTCAGGGGTCTTTGGATAAATGCTGACCTGCACCTGCTTGAGAGAGAACTACCTGAAGTCAGGAAGAAACAAAGAATAAAAGCTACTAGAAAGCGGTAGGTCAGATAATTGGACACCACACAGAGCTCAAAAGAGTTCACGTCCCCACCAGCCCAAGTGCAGACTGACCACTCTTGGGGCATCAGGTAGACTCCTCAGAAGGGTCTCGTCTTAATAGCAGAGCTAACTTAGGCTGAGCCTCAACACCATGGATAATCCTCGGCTGGAGGCACAGCTGCCCTGTGCCTTGGCAGGGTGTCAACAGCATCTCTGGTCTCCACTGCTGGAGCCAGGGGCATCTCCCCCCAAGACATCCCAACCCCAACTGCTTCCAGACATTAACAAATATCCCCATGGTGGGGCACAGAATCATCCAGCAGTCTGACCACTGCTCTGAGTCAGTACCTGCTTTGGACCTCAGCAGGACCGAGCTGTTGCCAAGAGCTTGACCTCCAGCCAGAACAACGTTCAACACCATTCACAGGAATACAACTAAATCAAGATACAACCAAGCAGAAGCCACCGCGTATCAAATCCAATTTTAAAACTGCCTGGTCTGCAAAAGAGCAAGGCAAGACAACCCGAGTCAGGAGGAAGATCCCTCAGTAGAAACAGGTATTTCAATGACAGAGACCATGGAATGAGCAGAGCTCGACCTTGGAGAGGCATGGCCAAATCATGACCTCCAAGTACAAAAGCTTTCCCTGGTTCACCTCAAGATAAAGCATGTTACAGGCCATCGCCTATCAGAAGACAGATGGCCTTGGCTTGCAAGCCCCAGCCTGTGCCTACGGTCACAGCGTCTCTGCAGTCAGCTCAGAGCCGCTCACCCGTTCTGGGGACACAAGCATATCACGAACTCTCCGTGGCTCCCTCCTCAAGCTGGTGAAAACGCCCGTGCTCTGCTTCCCAGGGAGCCTTGGAACATGCCCACGCTTGCCCTGGGGACAGCAGGCAGAGCTCAACTGCTGGGCCTAATCCGTGACCCAGTTATGGCTTTGTTGATGTCTGAAATTCAGATGCAGAGGGAGAACTGCCCTTAGCACACCATGTTCTGGTTAGTTGGGGGCATTTTAGAGTCGCTGAGAGCTGGGCTTCGCAAATATGAGCACAAGACCCCCTAGCATCTTGTCTGCTTCCCGCCCTAGCTACCTCCTAGCAAGCAACTTTTCTCCTGGCTCCTGCGGCAGGCAGTGGAAGGAAGGAAGAGGGTGGTGGGGGAGCGTCCCAGGGCCGCAGTTACTCTGCCAGTCCCAAGTGAGAGGAGGATTCTCCAGGCATTCACATCAGGCTGTGGTTTTAGAAAAACCTATCTATAGACCTTGCTCTCAACTCAAGCAAATCTGCAGATTCTCACGGGGAAAATTTGAAATCTGTGAGGTTTTCACAGGAACAAGTCTCCCCAAGTCACTTTTACTGGGAAACCAATTAGATTAAAGAAACAAGTTTATCCCAGTGAACCTGCTCATTCCTCACCCCACTGGATACTGCGTGGTGAAGCCCAGGGCAGGTTGAGGAAGGGCCTCTGAGCTGATGGAAGAGGAGTCACTGGGCCGAGTCCAAGGGCAGCACCCAGAGGCTGTTAATTGGGCTCACTCATCTGTTCAGCTTGGGAAATTGAGCCAGGAGGTTTGCTTCTTCCTGGTTTCCTCAATCTAAATGCTGTTGACATGCCCCAGTGGGAATAAGAAGACTACTTCAAAGAATATGGAATAATTTAAATTCTGAAATGTTTGCTACTAAAAGTTGAGCAAAGCTCCAAATTCAGAGGCACAGATCCTACCTGATGGTTTTCATATGGGCCTGTCCCAGAGCCCGGAAGCAGACCCCCAGGGACCACCTCTCACACCACAGACGGTGAAAGCAGCCAGTGGTTGGGTCTGTTGTGGGGGAGGGGCCTGGACTCATCTCACACTGGTGGCTCCACTGTGGGCTGTGAAGGATTAAGCCACAGAAAAAAATGTAGCCGTGACAATCAGTGTATTCCAGTATTTTACGACCTCCTTTCGAGGTGCACATCATCACCTTCAGTGTGGCTGTGATATTGAGAAAATAGATGAAGTTTATGCATGAAAAAAAATGGGAATGCAAGACAGGTTTAAAGTAGAGCCATGAACACTGTTGTAAAATGCACGAAACGATGATTCAACAAGTTTTTTCCTCTCAGGAGGGCTGAAAAATAACCTCAGTAAAAATTATAGAAAGATAAAATTCTGTCCCCATCTGATTAATTACTTGTGAATAATAACATCTCTGGTTTCTTTCAATTATATTCTAATTGCACACCTTTTGCTCTGGTTGATTGGGCAATGAAGTAATGAACAACTATTACTGAATTTAATTAACACCATTATTTCTGTGGCCTTTCCATCTCTGTTGTGAACATGGAAATTCAGACTCCCGGGGCTGGGGCTGGAAGAAGCCTGCCATGAACCCTGCTAAACCTGTTCCTTCCACATTGAGCTGGCTCCTTTCTGCCAAGCATGGGTAACAAAAGATCTGAAGTATTTGCCAGCATTCATGAGAAGGCTCTCCTAATAACAGCATCAATATTCAGAAAGGTTAGCTTTTCATAAAGCATTAGCAATTTGCATGTTGCATTTATCAAAAGAGATGGGCAACTGAGCTACCTAGGAGTCAATTACAATGTCATTCATAATTTATTCCATGTACAATAAAGAGCTGATCAGATTTCATGTGTGTTTATTTTCTGAAGATAACTGCTTGTGGCTGATACCAGTTGCAGAATACAAATATATTTTAGAGTAATGTGTCTATTTCACTTGGACGTTTTAAGTCTCCAAAGTTCTCCTTTTTACAACAGAGTTTCTATGCTTGGAAATGAGAGCTCACCCTCAAAAAATAGAAGTCTATCCCAGACTCATCTCATTTTAACTGGATCAAGCAAGCCATACAGATTCTCCCAAATAACAAATCAGGAAACAAATAGGAATTTGTTTTTAAGACAGAGCTTACAGAGCTAAGAATTCCTAGCTCACAGAGTGCCCGGCAGTTTCTAAATGTGGATACTATGACCCACTGCAGAAGCCTTTGGAGAGCTATTAAATGTTTGTAAATGCAGATGATTGCCATGTGTAAGGTACATTCATCTAATATGCACTCCCCCAAACTACCACCAAGTTGCAAAAACTGGAATAAATTAAAAGATAAAAAATTCTTCTCCATATCCCCTGGGAAAGACTACAACATATGAGATTAATGTATTAGACCAGATCAACACCTGCACTGTCAGAGGACACACAGCAGCTGCATCTCTTGGTGCGCAGACAGCTCCCCACCCAGTCTGGCCATACCTCATATCTGCTGGCTGGCTGCTCTGCCGTCTTCAGGCCTTGACACAAGTGGATGATACAAACTTTGGCTTTTCTCTGGGAGGGAAACCAGTTACTCTTCACAAAATCCATGACCATCACATGGTTTTTCAACTCTGTACTAAACGTCTTTATTTGAAAAGTCTGATCAGCAGCTGTTCCCGCATGGCCAGCAGCGAGCCCCTCCCGAGGAGAGGTGCTAGGCGTCCCGGAATGCAGCATGACACTCGGAATCTTGTGACTTCAGTGAGCTGGCCTGGCAAACACAATTTTCTTTGTTTCATCCAGGTATTGAGTGCAGCAGGAGGGGTTTGGGAAGTGCCTGCTGGGGCATCTCTGCATTTCCCCTCCACAGCTGCGCTTCCGAGATCCCGTGGCGAAAGTGACCGACGTGGACACAGAAACCTCGCAGGTGATCTTTACATGCCACAAAAACCTTCTCAGGCTGCGATCTGACCAACTCCAGCCTCACCTCACGCCTGAGCCCTTGGGTCACTCTGTCTTCTCTGATTTCAAAGAAACATTTTTCTTTGCCGCTGCATTCAAGTTCTGAACGCAGAATTTGCCTGGTTACCAAGAGGCTCAATGTGCTTTTCCGTCTCTAGGCCCTTAAATCCAAATAAATTATTTACAGAGCTTGGTACAAAGGAACCAGGAGGGATAATTGCAGCTTTTCAGAATTCCTACTTTTTCTGGCCAGGACTGAAAGGAAAAAGTACACACTGCCTACTGACACAAAGAGTGTCCTCAGCCCTGGAGAAGATAAGAGACACATTCAAGGCATAGAGAGAGCTCCCGGCACACAAGAGACGGCTGCGCGTGGGTATGGGAACCCAGTGCAAGTGTGAGAGGCTGCACTAGCTCTGTGGGGCTGTGGTCCTTCCAACATGGACGGCCCCTGGCAGGCTGAGCCTCGATTTCCCCGGGAAGAATGGCAGAATAAAAAAGCGCTGTCTGCCACCCACAGGGCTGCTGCTGAGATGTGGTGAGCTGTAAATAAGGAAAGACCACGTGTAACAGAGTCGCCATGGACGGGGTTCTCCTGGTATGGTAGCACATATTCTGCCCAAATTATTTTGCACAGCTCTCTCACAGCACATATGATACAGTGCAATGTGGCATGGTGGTAAAAATGATTGGAGTCTGAATTTCAAATCATTTGGAAATGCAGAGCAAGACGCACGTCCCACTTTTGATGTTGCATGTTTGGGTGCCTTATCTATTCGGCTAGTATTTTAGAGGTGAAAATGAAAAGTCTGGATCAAGGGTGTACACCAGGAGGAAGCAGATGACAAGCACTAAAATGGTTTCAACTCTTCTCTGAAGGCTACTTCCTTTGGCTTTCCACAAAGATGAACCTCTTGAAAACTCAATTCACCTGCCCATATCGCAAGCCATGGGGGAGGCTGATGAAGGGCCTGGACAACGTTGCTGGAAGTGGACCTGCAGATCCTTGCCCAGCACCTTACTCCTTCCTGCTGTGGGTCGGAGGTTTGCAAATCAGCTCAACTAGGACTTGGGCAATGGCAAGCTAAACCTCCACCTTCAGAGGCAACAGAGAGGTTGAATCTGAAAGTAAAACATGGAAAAGATAGAGGAGACTTCAGAGGCCATTACAGCCACGTGCTTCATCTGAGTGTGAAGAAAGCCAGACCATAGAGATTAAATGTGGGCCAAATTCAGAGCGGTGTTCCCCGTTCCTTCAACAGAACACGCCCGCTTCTGCCCATGGGTCTCCTAAGGACGTCCATGCCAGTGTCAAGGCCCAGTGGGGGGCAGTTTGGTGCACTGAGAGCCATGCAGGAAACCCCCCAGTGAGCTACACTGTGGAGGTCCATCTCGGACTTGGACGCTCTGTGGTAAAGATGGCCAAGGAAGAAATGCGGGCAATGAAGAAAATAAACAAGGACCTCAAAGAAAGAGGGACTCTGCCCTCCGGTTTAGGCCTGTGAGAGCCAGTGCCTGGGCCCCCAAGTCATCATCTGAACCAGCTCATGGTGTTGGCTCTGTTCCCAGAACCCTGCAGGTCTGATAGCACCACCACACCCATGCTGAAGAACCCTGGGCAGGTGGAGGCCACCGGGACTGCCCACCAGCTCTCCAAGACGGGGGCAGAGGTTTGCTGTGGGTTGATTGACTGACTCTGAGTGAAGGCCACGTGTCACAGGCTGTCCAGAGGTTCCAGAGTCACCAAGGCACTGGGTGACTTTTCCCTCTCCCTGGACTGCAAGTGGTGGACTTTAACTGGCCAATGTGGCCACAAGAGGAAACTGCAGCATGGCCTTGGGAAGGCCACCAGAATTCTTGGCCACAAGGGCTGGATAGAAGGCTTGGGATCATAAACCAACCCCCTCATAGAGGGAAGAAATGGAAGCCCAGAGGGAGGGAAGTTTGGCTAAGGGGTCAGCAGGCTGGAAAGGGCCCAGATGGATAGCTGGGGATGGGTTTGCACGTAGGCCCCAGGACACTAGCATGTGGTGTGGACACGGCCTCTCCCCTCCAGCTTCAGTCCCTCTTACCCACAAGCCCATGGCCATTCTAATACTCTGGAGCTGAGGTATCTGCCCAGACCGTGAGCAGACGTTCGTCAGGAGAGAGCAGCTCCCCACCTGGGGCAGGCCCTCCACAGTCCACTCACTGTGCCTCTTGAAGCAGGTCTCTGAATCAGGAGAGCAGAGCTCCCTCTGGCTCTCACAGCGCCCCCTCGCGTGCTGTGTCAGCTCTCCTTGACTCGGGCTCCCTGTCCATACCACAGGAGACTGACCTAGCTTCTGTGGTGGGCTACCATGAGGACTCAGGAGCTGGCACAATGCGATGCGTGGAACAGAGCCTGGCACGGTGTGTGCCATCGCCCAAGGGGCAGAGACCTTAGAAACAATAACAGCTGGAAGCATCGTTTTGATACTTAAAAGATAAAATTGCTAAGGACAAAGAGGAACTGCCCTCATCTCCAGGACCCCCTGTGCCAGGCAGTGGCACCCAGAAGTGGGGCAGGGGGCCGGCCTTGATTTCCTCAAATGAGAAGCAGAGACAGTGCCTGAGGAGACGGCTGAGGGCAGGAGCTAGCTGCTGTATGGGAAACGGTTTTATAAATAATGTATCTTTAAAGTCTTTCGACGCAGATTTTTAATGCCAGCACCAAAAGACAGCAGGGGACCGTCCCTTGCAGGAATGCACCCTGAGCTAGTTCCCACTCATGGGACCCAAAGTCAGTCTCTGCTAGTCACGGAACACGAGGGAGCCAGGCAACACCCTGCCACTGCGACCCCTTACTCTGCTCAAGGACATGGAATACTTTGTGGTGTGCTCAGAGCCCTGTCCTTGGAACCCTCCCCTGCCTCCATCCCAACGTCCCCTAAACCCCCATGGGAGCTGGCCTATCTTACACCACTGCATGTCCCACTCACTGGCTGGCCAGGGGTGGACATCTGGCTCAAATGGGGCTAGTTAGACTCTATCCTCATGTGGCCTAGCTGTCTGCATGCCCCCCAAATTCACGTATTAAAGCCCTGACCTCTGTGTGGGAGAGGGGCCTTCAGGAGGTGGTGAGGCTTAAATGAGTCCACAAGGGTGGGGCCCTCATAATGGGATTAGTGGCCTTAGGAGAAACAGAAATCTCCTCTTACCTCCTCTCAGAAATGCACGTGGAAGGCTATGTGAGGACAAGGTAAGACAGTGGCCACCAGCGAGGCAGAAACCATCATCCCTGGGGACCTAATCGCCTGGTACACTGACCTCAGACTTCCAGCCTCCAAAATATGAGAAATACTCACCAAGCACTTAAACCCCAAGTCATGGCATTTTCTCATGGCAGCCCAAGCTGGCTGAGACAGTCCCGGAGGACCTTAATACTGGCTTCACTTGACTGACCTAGGGAGGGACACCCAGCCCACAGGAGGCCAATCCAAGGCTCTCCTGGAGCACCTGGATCCTGGGACTGCACAGGTATGGGAGGCCGGCTCTATGAGATGGCATGTGTTGGGGACTGTTGGTGCAGGTGGCAGCTGTCACAGAGAGGCAGCAGCCAGAGATGGGAGCATTGATGGTGCTTAAGCCCTGGCTCCTGTCCAATCTCATCCTGTCTGGGGTTCATGAGAGATCCTGATGCTTAATAACCCTTTCCCCATAAGATGTAAGTGACTTGACTGGGGTTCTATACTTGCAACTAAGAGAGCGTGGGCTATTCTTTGAAAATCCACACATTAAAAGGATACAGAGTGCTTCTGTGCCAGGCCATGGCAGATAACAGAGACCTAGCGATGAAAGGGGCCCTCCATATCCATGAGGTTCACTGCTCTGCAGTGGGACCGAGGCCTTGACCAGCAGCCAACACAGGAGCAGGTGCACCCCTGTGAAGGGGGCCCCGAGAATCTCTAGGAGAAGGGACGTGACTGGTGACTGGCTGGCAGCTGAACTCTGCGGCTGGCATTGCAGGGCAAAAGTCAACTCTAGACATCCCCCTCCACTCTCGTCACACATCTCGTCCTAAAGCATTCAGGGCTGAGGATGGAGAGGCCGAAGTTACTGCTTGTTGCAAACAACTTCCTGGGTCCTCTGCTGTTCTTTTTCTAAAACAAGTAACTCAGCCAACTATAAAAGTGAGACCTCTGATCTTGTTAACATCCTGCGGATGATCCCATTTAATTTCCTTTAAACTGGTCCCTGGGGTGACAGGTGGAAACTAGCATGGTCCATGATTACCATCCAATGACACCAAATCTACACCAGTGCACCTTGAAATGTGTTTACTGCTGAAATACACGGAGAATGAGTCCATCCCTCCCCCTTGCTCCTGGTACAACACGCGGGGCTGAAGGATAGGCATTGAAGTATTTAAATAATGAATTATTCAAAAAGAAAAGGAACTGCAGGTACCTGATGCCAGAAATTCATGCCTGTGAATTCTTAATCTGTTCTCCAATGGGATTAGCATTTACGACTGTGAAGGATGTCCTAATTATGCAGCTTCAGAGTTGATTTTCTGCAGGGCCTACGCACATCTAAAAAGCATTAGGCAACAATAAAAACAGATGACTATGAATTTCGGAATTCATAATTTAGTTTCCCTTTTGGGGGGAAATGACATTTTTATTTATGGGCACTTCACTCATCAGGTGGCTCCTGAAGTTCTTCTTCCTCGGAAGCCAACTGCATCTGATCACAGACACGGAGGCGCTCCAGGCTGCAGACAGGATGGTGCGGCCATTCCCTGTCCCACGTGT